CAAATGCTTGGTTGGACGTTTTGTTAACTCTGAACCAGACGTGGAAGAGGTGTTGACTTGGGTAGTGGCTAGATGGAAGCCAAGTAACTCCTTTCAGGTGAGGAGGCTCAACGTGTGCTACTTTCTTTTTTCCTTTAGCAGTGAGGATAGAATAGGATCAACTACGGGTTCTAGATTTATGGTTGGGGAGGTGGAACCCCCTTGTTGGAGCTTTGACAAATGTGGGGTCATCAAACATCGTTTGGATAAATGTTTTGGTATTCCTTTACATGCTTGGAGCTTCCAAATGTTCAGGGATGCATGTGGTAGGTTCAAGTTCGTTAACTCAAGAACCATCGAGGGGAAGAATCTAGTAAGTGCACATATCTTAATTGAGGTGGAGGAAATTCATCTCATTCCAGCATTCTTGCTTTTTGATTTAAGAGTGGTGGTAGAGGGAGCTTACCCTGGTGGCTGGATCGATAACATGGTTTCATAGCAGGAGGGAAGTGGATCTTTGTCATCAACTGGTTTGAATAGGTGGAATTTAGATGGGCTGGTAGCAAAGGAAGCGTCAAAGGTTGAAGATGAGGGCATTTTGGGAATGAAAAATCAATTGATGATGGTGGGGGTGGTGTTTTGGGGCTAATTGATTTTCGAAAGATTGGGAAGGTGAAGAGGGGAGATTTGGGGAAGAGTTCGAAAAAAGGGAGATAGGAGTGGGGCCCACTCGAAGTCGGCTAAAGGAAAAAAAATGGGGCTGGCATGCTAGACTTAGTGATTTATGATGTCATAGGAGGGATAGAGGCTGAGAGACATGTGGTAGGCCAAGAGGAAAAGGGGTTGGGGTCTAGAGAGGTTGATGAAAAGCCTTCAATGTTGCGTTTTGAAGGGGAGTCTTGCACTTGGAATTGGGATGATGTTGGGGCCCACTTTCCAATGCCTAAACCAAAATATGCAAGACAGCCAATCGTCCCACTCAGTCTAAGGGTAAATAGAAAGAGGTTAGTAACGTTTAAACATTCAAAGGATGTTAGACGTAGGAGATTGAGCAAAATTTGTTTGGATAGGGGGGATCGAAGGGGAAAAGAAATAAGCTGGGAAGGGGAGATCTTCAGATTCAATAGAGGTAAGAAAGAGAAGGTCACTATAAAGTAAGATTTTGTATTAATGTATCACAAAATGAGAAACCTTTGTGTACATAGAATAGCTGTCAGAGAAATATACAAAAGTGTAAATGTGTAATACATTTGATTTTTTTTTTATAAGAATCTAGGTTGGTGCAAAAAGAGTATCATAAGAGAGATAGGAATGATGAAATATGCCCCTGAATCTGTGATTGATGCTCACCCAAGAGTATAACGTGCCTTAATATTTCTTTTATATCTCATCAATGCTTCTGGATTTATTTTTAAAAATACTGACATTTTTTTTCAACCCATATATAATCCAAAGAATCCAGTGAAGTATTCTCCACACCACTCTTGCTTTGGGACTAAGACCCTTCAGATGCCAGCCCAGCAAGAGCTCATGCAAGGATTCCTGGAAGTGAAGGCGTATGCCAAAGATGTCAAGGGGCCATCACCTAGATGGAAGTTGTAACCTCACAATGATGGAAGGGGTGCCTTTGTGTTTCAGATTCTTACAAACATAAAACACAGTCGGAGTTGTCTACCTTCAGCTCTATTCTGTTCATCCTATCAACAGTGAAGCCATCCAGCATAAGAAGGAAACTTTTGGAGGGGGCGGGGTTCTGTTAGATCAAGGAATTTGGGAAAGGGGCAGTGGAAGGGGTGTCAGGTGTTACCATTCAAATTGTCATAAAAAACTTAACCAAGAATTTTTTGGATGCAGTCCCTTTTTTTAAGCCCGATGCATTCCTTTTTGAATGATCGTTAGGTTCCATTCTTTTATTCTCTCTCTCTCTCTCTTTGAGGTGTATGGTTCTTATCATGAATTGGAGGTGTTATATATCAAATATTTCTAGTTTTTGGGAGCTTGGATGGGAGGATTTTGTTTTTCTCCTTCTACTCCCCTTCCATGCACCTACCTCATTTTTTGCTTTTCCTTTTCAGTATATTACATTTCTGATAAAAAACAATCAAGGTGGTTCACTGGGTTAAGTCAATGGATCTTTTTAAGGGTATTCCTGGCATTGACGTGATGAGAAAGTGGAGACAGGTAGTTGTTTCTGCTCCTTGTAAGGAGGTGATCAGGCCTGTGTGGTCCCCACTCCCCACTATCTAGAGGTTTTATTAAGCTCAACTTTGATGGTAGCAGAGAAGGGAATCCGGGTCTGTCTGGCATAGAAGGGTCTTCAGGAATGAGGAGGGATTGCATTCTACTCTGGTCCAATTGGAGTTTGGGACTTGCTAAGGGCTGAAATTAAGGCTGTTATTGGAAGGGATTCAAAATGATAAAGAGCTGAATATCAAGAAGTTGTTAATTGAAGGTGATTCAAAGCTTGTAATTAGCTGGCTCAGGAAAGAAGAGGAGGATGGATGGTGGTACTTGCTAAACAAGGGGTGGGGAGGAATAGTTTATTTTGGGCTGCATTGTAACTTTATTTTCTGTTGGGGAGGGCTAAGAGTTTTTATCCCTCCTCTTTCTTAGTGTACTAAATTTCCTCTTTTTCATTGACATTGATTCTGTTGTTGATAAAAAAAGATAAAAACAATGATTATAAGGTTTTTGGTGTTTTCTGTTTGTAATTATTTGTTGTTGGGGTGTTATCTCAATATTCCTATCTCACACTCTTTTTGTTCTCTAATAATTTTATTTTTTTTATCGAAAAAGTTCGTGCACGTATTTGGATTGAAGGACTCTTTATTTTGGTATTGATGTATCCCATTCTTTTTATAACAAATTTTTTTCTGCTTTTACTAATGAAATTGTAATTGCTATTTTTCCTAAAATAATGCCTTAATCTGTGGATATTGGTCTAAAGGGACTGATAAAATTTTGAAAATTGTTATCTTTTGGATATGTAAAAGGTAAAGTATTGCAATATATTCAAAAAGATCATCTACAAATATAGCTCCTGTATAGTGAGAGACTATACCGAGCAACAAAATTTTATTAGGAATAAATGGGAGAAGTTACCTAAAAATAACTATTTAATAGTTAACACAAGCCAGCAGGTCCCTACAGTCAAAAGATCCCCATAGCTTACATGCTACTACCATGCCTTCCATGGGCAGGACTCCAAAACAAATCTTTCCTGTTAACCCTTTCTCTAGTTGTGGACCTTTGTGACCACTAGAGAAAGGGTTAGGTACCTCCTCCTTCATTATTTAGGCCATAACCTGAGTGATGAGTGTAGAAATTCTCTCATTTACTTTGGGTTAAGTCCAAGAAATTGACTTATAATTTTCAACATTAGCTCCTTTGCATTCTTCGTTGATTTGTCATATAGGAAGTCCTTAGAGTATGCAATTCCTTTGTCATCATGGCTTTGAAAACAAAGTGTTGTGTATATAGAACAATGTAGTCTTTTCTTTTTCTTTCTCCAGTCCCTTTAACTGCTTTTGGTGCTTAAAGATTCTATAGGAGATTAGCTAACTTGTTTTTTTCTGCATGGTTGCTTCTGATATGGTTAGTTGTAATGACTGGTTAATACTTGTAAGTAGATATCTGAATTTAGTGTGACCCCTTTTTCTGTTGACGTGAAGGGCAATAAAGAGGTTTTATACATCCTAATTTCCATCATGTGAAGGGCTTTGGTTGGGATATAGTTTTTGTCCTTTTGTAATTTATAATTTTATATTCTCATTTCAAACATACTGAAACTTAATGGAAGGCTGCATTTTTTGAATTTCTATTTATTTGCCTAGAATTTAAAAATGAATGTTGGCTTTCCTTATTGATTTGCATCAGTTCCAGATATATTGCCAATTGAGAATGAGCTACGGAAGGGGTTGATTGAAATCTCAAATCTGTAATCAAATTAATCAGAATATAGATGGGCTTTGTAGGTTTTTTTAAGGTCATCATTACTCATGGGCTGATACAATTGTGGGCATCCTATTAGAGTCCTATTTTAGGGATAAGGAAAATTTGCATTGGATGAAAATCCCTATGGTGCAGAGTCTTCTCTGGATAAGGTTTTTGAATGTGACTCTTCTGACTGTGTAATGGTGTTGAGGTAGCAGGTACATAAGGTGTTGGGTTGCACAGCGGATGATGACGTAGTTGAAGTTGGAGACTTCTGTGGAGATTCTATTGATCACAGGGAAGAGGAAGTGAAAAAAAAAAGAAGTCAAGGATCTACTTAGAAAATAGAAAAGTGACAGTCCTGGAGTGAGGTTTTTAACGTAAATAATTTTTGTAGGAATGATTGGTCAAAAGTTTGTCTAGTGAGCAAAGGCTTGGGAGTTTCCAGTTCCCCCAAATAAGGGACATTTTTTTCCCTCATTGTCCTATATGCAGTTTGGGGACAGGTAGTATTCTTGGGCTTTGCAGGTGAGGGTTCTATGCTACAGAGGTGGTTCATTATGTTCCTATTTTCCTCTTCTCTTTTTCATATTTGGTTGTCCCAAGGTCCTGGTGTAGCCGTTTAGCCTGTCTTGGGTTCTTTTGGGTTGTCAGTTGGGTGTTGAGGGTATGAGGCCTGGTGTTTTCATTTCCTTGAGCCCCATCACATGCTCATTCCATTTGTATTAGTTCCTTTAGGTGTGGAAGTCTGTATATTTAAGCATAATCAGGGAGGCCTATTTGACATGAATTGTCTGAGCTTTTTATTGAGGGTTATATGAACATTGATCACGTGAAAGCATTTTGTTCAGTGGGAAACAGTATATCTAAGTGGCCTGTTCTGACTTCTGAGTTTGTTTTTTGGCTCTCCAGTTGTAGCATACCCATAATATGATTAATGCATTTGGTGCAAAAAGTTGGTCATTCTTTTCTTTGTTCTTCTTTCTAAAGTTGTTAATCCTTTTACATAATTTGATCTGGCACTAACTAATTTGTCAGTTCATTTTGACCATATTAACTTTTCACTTCTATTATGTCTTTGTTTGCAGATATGATCCTCGAAAGCGTATAACAGCAGCACAAGCACTTGAGCATGAGTAGGACTTCTGTTCTTATATTTATCTTATTGTTGAGGTCTCTAATCCATTTTGCTATATACTATATACTATATGATCTTGGAAAGCATATAATAGCAGCACAAGCAGTCAAGCACTTGAGCATGAGGACTTCTGTTCTCATATTGTTGAGTCTCTAATCCATTTTTTGAAATGCTATAAACTTGGAATTTAAGTCATGATTATGTTTTCAGTATTGCATTCGTAGTTATTTCAGAATGATCTTTACAATAACTCCTATGCTTTTCTCAGTTTGCATTTTGCTGTGCTTGGACTTCATAAGGATCTATAAGAATCTAAGTGGACTAGGTTCCACGAAAACCTTAGAATGTCTTGATTCTCAGGAATTGGGCTTTTTTCCTTTAATAATGAGTGTCTTAGAAATTCTATACTTTTCTTATGTTCATATTGAATTTGTACCCTCATCTTCAAAAAAATGGTTTATAAATAAATATGGTAAACCCATAAGTTGGAGGGAAAAGAAATAGGTTATTTCTTTTGCTCTAATCAATTTGTTATTTGCTTTTCTCCTTTATTGGGTGAGGAGAACATTCCAGTTGATCTGATTTTCTCAGCTTAGTGGAAGTGACACACCATTGACATGCAATGATGTAGAGTTTCAAGAAGATGTTGCCCACATAGTTTCAGAGGGTGGATTAATCCATATACATCTGGAATATTTTGTGATTAGAGAATACCAATTAGATTGAAAGGAATGTTATAAAGTGGCTGTAAGGTTGCCAATGTAGTGTTTGACGAAGCAAAAGGCAATGGATGAGGGGATGAGTGGGCATATGCTCATTATGAAAATGAGCATACTGCAATGGATGACTGGGCAGAGTAGATAGGATAGGATTAACAATATGTGCATTCATGGGAAATTACATAGTTTGGGCATATGCATAAAATTGGAAGACCCTCTACTCCACTAGTGAGGGGTATCCTTATGCAAGATCTGAGTCACAATTCCATAGATACTAGTAGATGATATGGCCCTTGATAGAGTGGAATTGCAAAAACAGGACTGATGTAGCCAACCCAATATTGTCAGGATAAGCTATGATAACCAGATATTTATGAATGAGTGCCATATCATGTTATTTTTATGATAAGGCTGTATTACGTCCTCTTGGTTGTGTGGATTTGTACTTTGTTTGGGTAACTTGGAGGATTATACTTCTTGAGTTTATAGGTTTTTTTAGATTTAAAAAAATAAGAAATGGATTATCAATGGCAGTTGGGAAAAAAGTTTAATAGAAATTAGTATGTAGGCTGGCATGGCACAAATTAGTATCATGTTGGTATGTTTGTACTGTCCTTTTCTTTTTCCTTTCTTTCTTTCTTTCTTTCTTTCTTTCTTTCTTTCTTTCTTTCTTTCTTTCTTTCTTTTTTTCCCCTTTCTGTACGAGGTGTATCAGAGGCATACACCTCATGCAAAAGGCATTTCAGGCATAATGCCTCATTGACCTGAGGCATGCATAGGGCTTTCAATGGGTCGTGTCTGGGTTGGGTCCAAGTAGAACCGGAACCGACCTGACAAGAATTACCAAGTACCCAGAACTGAACTGGACCCAATAGGGTCTATAATTTTAGAGCCAGAACCGAACCATCGGTTATTGGGACAATCGGGTCTGACCTGATGGGCCTGTTTATAATAAACCTATTGAAAATATAATATATAATATTAATTTATTTTATATATATAGCTCGGGTCGGGTCTGAATTGGTTTGGACTGGGTGGAGCTGGTTCCAACCTGATAAGAATCGGGACAATATATGAGGAACCAGAACTAACTCAATCGGTTCGGGTCACCGGGTCCAACCCGACCCATTGACAGCCCTAGGCATACACCTAAGGGCATTTTGGGCATGTCCTGCCTGGAGGCGCCCCCAGGTGTATGCCTCACATGCCTTTAAAAACATTAGGAAGTACCTGGTAGGATGACTGTGAGCTGCTTAGGGAGGCTTTACTGAAGGATTTCAGGCAGGTAGGTAATCAATCAATATACCTTTATTCCAATTTGCTGATGGTGCACGTGCATTATTTATTTGCAAGGTTTCTCTTGATCAGCTACTACATTTAAGATGGTTTGCAATGGTATCTGAACTGTACATTTACATGCACAAGAGTAAACTTAAGGTGGTTGGTCAGTAGTTGGTGTTAGAACAGTTAGCAGGAGTGTTGCGCTGTGATATGGGATCTCCTACCAACTAAATATTTGGGACTGCCATCAGGGGTGACATGCACCTAAAATTTATTTGGGGTCCTATGGTTGTATGCTTTGATAGAAGATCGACTTGGCAGAACAAATTCCTGTGAAAAGGTGGCAAACTCACCCTTGCTAGGAGTTTTGTCTCTAGCCACTTATATTCCCTTTACCAATCATCATCATTGGGTAAAAACCTTGGAAATCTTCCATGTTTTCTCCTTCAATGATACTTTGAGATCATGGAAGCAAGTGGCAAACTTGGCTCAAGGGAAAGAAAGGGTGGTTATGGAATGGAGACTGCCAACACCTAATTCTGTGAAACTAAGTTTTGATGGAAGGTAGTGGCAGATTGGGGGAGTTTGATGAAGAAATGAAGGTAGTGGCAACTAAATTTTATAAAAACCTTTATAAAGAGGTTTGCACCTTCAGACCCTTTCCTAAAGACCTTCCTTTTAAGCAGTTGAGTGAAGATCAGAGTTCCTTCATTGAGAGACCCTTTATGGAGGAGGAAATTAAAGGTGCCATTTCTAATGTTGGCAGATGATAAATTGCCAGGGCCGGATGGTCTTACCAACCTATTTTATGCTAAATGCTGGGACTTTGTGAAACAAGATTTATTGAATGTCTTTCAGGCGTTTTATGATAATGCTTCCCTTCAAAGAAGCTTAAATACTACGTTTATCACCCTCATTCCAAAAATTGAAGGGGCGGTTAATGTTAAAGATTTCAGACCAATCAGTCTTTTGCACAATTTCTATAAGATCTTGGATAAAGTGTTAGCCGAGAGAATGAAAGGGGTGATAGGAAATGTTATCTCATACAATCAAAGTGCTTTTGTCGGGGAGGTAGATGCTTGATTCTGTTCTTATTATGAGCTGATTCACTCAAGAAGAAGAGAGGGTGCCCATGGTTTGATTTGCAAACTTGACATTGAGAAAGCCTATGACCATGTTAATTGGAGGTGTATTGATTTGGTGTTGCAGCATATGAGGTTTAGGCAGAAGTGGAGAAACTGGATAAAAGTATGTATAACCACTTCCAAATTCTCAGTTTTGATTAATGGTCATGGTCAGTCAGCAGGGTTTTTTGATAGTTCTAGGGGTCTATGACAGGGGAATCCCTTGTCCCCCTTGCTCTTTATATGTTATGGAAATTCTTACTTTGTTTTGTAAAAAGGCTGCTGATTCCGGTGTTTGGGAAGGTTTTGCAATCTCTCTTGAGGGGGAAAGGGTCAATATTCTCCAATTTGCAGATGATACTTTATGTTTTGTGGATGCTTCTCCCTCCCAGTTTGATATTGTCCTTGGGATTTTAACCTGGTTTGAGGTTGTCTCTGGACTTAAAGTCAATTGGAACAATAGCCAAATCATTCCAGTGGGCCAAGTAACCAATATAGTTGATTGTGCGGAGGTGCTGGCTTGTCAGATTGAATTCCTCCCTGTGAAATTTTTGGGTTTGCCCTTGGGGGCAAATTGCTCAGTTTCATCGATTTGGGATCCAGTTATTGAAAGAATGGAAAGGAAATTAGCATCCTGGAAGGCAAGATATCTCTCTTTTGGGGGTAGGGTTACTCTGATTAAAAGTACTCTTTCCAATTTACCTACTTATTTCCTTTCTCTTTTCCCCATCCCAAACAAAGTAGCAAAAAGATTGGGGCAGATGCAAAGAAGTTTTCTTTGGAGGGGTTGGGAGGAGGAAAAAAGAGTTCACCTAGTAAGTTCGGACCATGTATGTCTTCCTAAGGCTGAAGGTGGTTTAGGCATAAGGAAGTTGAGGAGTTTTAATTCTGCCCTCCTTAGCAAGTGGATTTGGAGGTTCTCGGCTGAGAGAGAGGCCTGGTGGAGAACTCTCATAGCTGAAAAATATGGGGTGGAGTGGGGCAACTGGAGATCTAGGGATCCTCCCCCAGGCTGGGGAAGTTCCCCTTGGAAAGGTATCATGAAGAATTTCTCTGTTTTCTTGGAAGCGATTTCAGTCAAGGTTGGTAAAGGGGATTGAACTAAATTTTGGAAGGACCCTTGGTGTTTGGACGGGACGCTAGCTGAGTCTTTTCCTCTCCTTTTTCAGTGTGCTTCTAACCAAGAAGCATCTGTGGCTGAGTGCTTTTGTTTGACTGGTGGCTCTGTTACTTGGACCCCCTCTTTAGGAGGAATCTCTTTGATTGGGAGTTAGAAGAGATTGTGGAGTTGTTGATGTCTCTTCTTCATAAGCAGAAGATAGATCTGCTCTTGGAAGACAAATGGTGCTGGAGATGGAATTTGGATGGTGAATGTACTGTCAAATCCTTTGCCTCTAGGCTTTGCAGTTTGGGTCTCACTGATTTCCCAGCTTCACAGATCTGGAATTCTACAAGTCCATCAAAAGCCAACTTTCTGATTTGGACGATGGCCCTTGACAAATGCCTTACAAGATCTAATCTTGTGAGGCGGGGCATCCAAATTATGGATCTATCCTGTGGTCTTTGTGGGCTCCTAAATGAATCGACATATCATTTGTGTATTCATTGTCCGTTCTCCTCTTAGATTTGGGAACACTTTCTCAAGTTCATGGATATCAGTTGGGTTATGCCTAGGTCGGTTAAGGAGCTTCTCTGCTGCTGGAATGTTAAAGGCCTAACCAAGAAAGGGAGTCTGGTGTGGAGGACTATTCCGGCTGCTGTCTTATGGTCCATTTGGGTGGAGAGGAATAGTAGGGTTTTCTGTAATAGACCTAAAAGTCCTGAAGATATTATTCAGAGAGCTGTGGACAAGCTGATATCTTCGGTTTCTGTAT